AGTGAACCGCAAACCAGCGGGGAAGTTAAAGAGGGAGAAAAGAACAAAAAATATTCATTTGCCTGACTGCGTGTGTGACAGCAGCAGCCTGGAAAGGGTTGAGAGATCCCCACCTATCATATGGTGGGGAGGAAGGGATATATAAAGGAAGGGGACACGGGGCAGAGGGGAAGGGTCTCCTCTTTTCCCTAGCTGAGGCAGTGAGGGAAAAGCCTCTGGAGAGAGTCTGGTCAGTTGATATGCTTGATTTTGTGTTCACAATAAATTGTGCCCTGAAGCAATGGCTTTAAAAAGATTTGGGCACAGTGCTGCTTCCTTCCCTGGGCTGGGTAAACAGCTGCCAGCTTACCATCAGAAATGATACTAGTCAGTTGATTCAATAGTTCCCAGGTATGCACTAAACTCAGCGTACCAGGGAACTGACTGCAGCTCATCTCCATTTGTTCTCTGAAAACACAGTGGGCGGCATTATACAGTTGGCATTTACCACTCGACAGCGATGTCCGTTTTCGCTGCATCACAGGGGGTAATGGAACAGCGAGGCTGTCTCCCCACTGGTAAAAGGGTAGGTTTTTTTTAATAATGAGGTGGCTAACAAGTTAATTGTCTTGTAAAATCCTAATGAAGGGGAGGCAAATGGTAGTTTTACATCAATGCAGCCAATTAAGGTAAATCTTGATGTCTATGTTAGGGGTTGGTTTTTTTTGTTTTTTTTTAATGTGTATACAATAATACCACCAGCACCACCTGGCTCTTCTACAGGTCATCCACAGATCTCAAAGCACTCCACAAAGAATATCAGTATTGTTATCCCCATTTTACAGATGGGGAAACTGAGGCCAGAGAGGGGAAGCGACTTGCACAAGGTCATCCAGTGGATCAGAGGCAGAGTTAGGAATAGCACCCAGGTCTCCCAACTCCCAGTCTAATGCTCTAGCCATTCAGCCACACTGCCTATGTATGTATATCTATACATGTACGTGAAACTCTCCTCCTCCGCTAGGCTCAAGGCGTGTTCTCTTTTGCCTGCATGGCTGGTGAATACACAGCATCGGAGACATCCGGCTCTGCACATGAAACACGTGGGGGAGGACGGAGCAAAGCTGGCAAAGATAAAGTTGTAAGAACCAAGGGGTATGATGAATAAGTGTGAACACTAAGCGTGACAGCAAAGGCCAAGTGTCCGCAAGGACAGTGCTAAGTGGGCATTAGCAACAAGGACCCGAGGACACACATACAATGCGCCATTTCACAAAGTCACAGGTGCTACGTGGGAAAGCTGGCAGCATCCACAGAAGGGATGATCTTCACAGTCACTCATGAAGAAGTCACTGGCAGCAAAGGGAGAGAATCCCAGGCCAGCATGTAGAAGAGGTTCTCCCTTCAGCCACACACCCAGGCAGAGGGTGGTCATGCTAGTAAAGATTTACTTTAGATCAGAAGCCAACGTAACTCTGCCAGGAGTGAAGAAATTTAATTAGAAGAGCGAGATGGGGTGCCTATATTAGAATGAATTAGAATAACTCCATGAAGGCTAATTAATAGTTATTTTAGATGTACACTGACACCAGCGAGTGCCAAAGGTGGCCTTTCTTGGTTTAGGGTAGAAGACAGCCTTGTTCTATTACGGGGGCAAATGGACGAGATAAACCTGGAGGTCCCTTCCAACCTGGTCTGTAAGGCTCTGAGAAGACATACAATGCATCTTCTGGGATGACGGGTTCTAGCACCATGCCTGTGCTAGGTTTAAGAGATGCTGGAAGCCCTCACTTCCCATCCACTTCAGTGGAAGCCGAGGACAATCGGCAATCCATAGCACTGGGCTAATAGAGATCACTTAATTCCATTTCCTGGGTGCTGGAACAAAGAAATTTCAAATGATGATTTCAGGCTTCGCTAAGATTCCCACCAGTTTGAAATACCAGATCCTGTTCTCAATACAGTCTCTGAAATTTCAAATCCCTCCAGTAGGAGCATATTTCTCCTGAACTGGATCTCACTGCTCTGTTTTGTTTTGTTTTTTAACAAACACTTCACATTCCCAGAAAATGACCATAATACATGTCACAGACCAAGAACCAACTGCTCTCCCTATACTCATTGGCTAAGGCTTCCAAGTGGCTTTGCTTATGTTTTCCAGTGAGAAATGTATCATAAGAACTAGACCAAATGTCCATCTAGCCCAGTATCCTGTCTTCCGACAGTGGCCAGTGCCAGGAGTAGCACAGGGAGTGAACAGAACAGATAATCATCCAGTGATCCATCCCCTATCACCTATTCCCAGCTTCTGGCAAACAGAGGCTATGGACACAGTCTCTGCCCATCCTGCCTAATAGCCATTGACGGACCTGTCCTCCAGGAACTTATCTAGTTATTTTTTGAGCCCTATTATAGTCTTGGCCTTCACAAGTGGTGACTGAAGTCACGTGTAGATAGAGAAGCTTGTCAGTTTCTCCACATTCCTCGGAGAGAGAGGGGGCTTTTGTTTTGCACCCCCTCACAAGATATCTAATCCAGCAGTCAGCAGAACATGTTTTCCAGTGCAGAGCTGCTGCCAGATGTGGCTCCATCCCAATGGTGTAGAAAGAAGAACTCCGGGGTGGTCACAGTACCTCCTCCTGGATGATGCTTTCTGGAACAGTAGGTGGCTGTGCAATGCAAGGGACTAGGGTGCCCAGGAAGGGTTATTTCAAAGGAAAATACTATCAAGGCTGTAGGGGAGAAATCTGATTCACGTGGGGAAGATGTCATAGTCCGATAGCATAGTACTGGCCATTAAGTGCCGACTGCTCTACCCCTTTCCAATGGAGCCTCACTAATTATACTCAAAAAGAACGGGAGTACTTGTGGCACCTTAGAAACGAAAATTTATTTGAGCATAAGCTTTCATGGGCTACAGCCCACTTCATCGGATGCATTCAGTGGAAAATACAGTAGGATGATTGTATATACACAGAGAACATGAAACAATGGGTGTTACCATGCACACTGTAGCGAGAGTGATCAGGTAAGGTGAGCTATTACCAGCAGGAGAGGAAAAAAAAACCTTTTGTAGTGATAATCAAGATGGGCCATTTCACTACAAAAGGTTTTTTTTCCTCTCCTGCTGGTAATAGCTCACCTTACCTGATCATTCTCGTTCTACATAGTAACACCCATTGTTTCATGTTCTCTGTGTATATACAATCGTCCTACTGTATTTTCCACTGCATGCATCCAATGAAGTGGGCTGTAGCCCATGAAAGCTTATGCTCAAATAAATGGGTTAGTCTCTACGGTGCCACACGTCCTCCTGCTCTTTTTGACAATACAGACTAACACGGCTGCTACTCAGAAACCACTAATTATACTGGGATCTGAGCCATCAGAGCACCTGTCGTATCAGCTTCATTCCAGACCCTCTCCCTCACCACTAGGAAGGTCCACCATAATAGTCCTCTGGGATCCCTGAGCATCCTCATTTTCCCCAGCTTTGCACCCTGCTAGTTGAAACTACATGTCTTTCCCGCTCAGGACAGCTTGATGGGATTCCCTTGGAAGCCAAACAACGCCATTCTCCTTCGTAGGTGGCATCTCCATTACTGAAGGTTTGCAACCATGGTCGCTCATGCCACCTGAACAGGAAAAGTCACCATGTTCTGGCACTCCCAAGCGGGGAAGCAATTAGTGTGAAATGCACACACGTTAGCCTCAGATTTGGATACCCAACCCATCCGTTTTCATGGCAACTTGGGTCCAGTTGTATTAATCAAATGGGCTCACAGTCCAAAGAACTCACACTGACAGAATTAGATGCACCATAAAAGTGAGCTATGGCTCTACCAGGTTAATGCCATCTGCCTGCAGACGCCAAGAGACATGAATCCAGACAGAATTTCAAACTGAGGGGAAAGTCAAATGCTGTTTATCCAAACGCAGCATCAAAACTGATCCAAATAAACAGGAGTTCACTTAAGCTGCGGATCTTTAAATCACAGTTATTACATGGGGAGGCATTGCCATTTCACATAAATGAGTTATTCTGTTAACGGAGGTTCGGCTGAGGGAGGCTTCATTGTGTAAGATTATAAAGGGCTGCTCTATCTGCCATTCAGTGCGTGTAACGCATTCTCCTTCATCGAGATGACTCAAACATTTGCAGCGAGGGACGTACAACTCTAATGAGGGGAACAGAGCCGCCAGCCGACCACAGAACACTGCACACACAGCTAGCAAATAGACAGACAGGATGAAAGAAAAAGATCAAGTAAAATGAAATCAGAGGGCCCAATATCCAGAGGAGCAGGGCTTCCCAACGCCTCGCCAGCTCAAGGGCAGCAGCAAGCTACTCTAGCGACTAGAATGTCTAACAGCCTAGTAAACGCATGCGTATTCTACTAGTTACGATGAAAACCTACACCCCCTAGAACAGGGCATCCAGGTCACTGTTTAGCACCTGACAACATCTTCCAGAATGCTAGAGCCAACAGGAGCTATAAGCTATACCTGTATGGCATCAAATGGTGCATGGAGCCTTCAAGGAACTAGAAAATTACAGGCCCCATACATAAGGCTAAGATTGTCACAGAGGTCACGGATTCCGTGACTTCCATAGACCTCTGACATTTTTCTGCGTCAGTCCAGGGTGGCAGGGCTGGAGCTGTCAGCTGGTGGGGGCCCCCGCAGTTCCCAGCCGCTGCGGGCCCCAACACTCCCAGATGCCGCAGGTGCTGGGCCCCCCCGCAGCAGGGCTCAGACTCTCATCTCCCCATCAGCCCCTTTTGTCACAGTTATTTTTAGTAAAAACCAGGGACAGGTCACGGGCATCCGTGAATTTTTGTTTATTGCCAATGACCTGTCCTTGGCTTTTACTAAAAGTAACTGTGACAAAATCTTAACCTTACCCATAGGCGACCTGTAGGAGCCAGACAGTAAAGCAAATGCAACTCCCACAGGTGCCATATAACACTTGGTCTGCACCTGCTTAGTGTCCTAAGGCTGTGTGTGGCTCTTTTCCTTACCTTTGAGAGATCTTCCGTCCCTCCCTGCTGATTTTGGTTGAGTAGAGGCGAGTGCCGCATCAGTGGGTCTTGCAGCAGGTCTAGCCGTGGTCGTTTTGTTTCAATGAACTCTATTTCCGACTGTTTACTCATGTCAGAGAGATAGGAGTGGGGCTCGGCTCTCAGGTGTAACTCCTGCGACCTGGGGAGAAGGAGAGGGGCAATTTTAGAGTCACAAGCAGCCATTCTAGCAGACACAGGGCTCCTGCATTTCCACATTAAGAATTCCTGAAGGGTTGTATCCCATCGCAGGTGGATAAAGTGTTCAACTTGATTTACACCTCTCAGGCAGCTAAAGACCTATGCTCTTCAGTTTTGTGCCTCACAACACTCCCACCGTGGTAGGCTATCCAGGGAAAAAATGGACTGGTGGTAACAGCACAAAACGGGGATTCAGAGGGCCTGGATTCATTTCTCAACTCTGCCAATGACTTCTTGTCTAGTCCTAGGCAAGTCACTTGATTTCTCTGTCCCTCAGTGGTTTATCTGTAGGGCCCTTTGTTTTCAGTTTTTATTTTATATAATTTTTCCTGGGAATTTATCAATTTTTTTTACTACAACAACAAAAACAGGTAAAAATTGGTGGGAAAAAAAACTTAATTTTGCTGGGAAAATATTGGGGTTTATTTTGGTGGACGGGAGGATGCGGAAAAGTATTCAGTAGATCAGCGGTTCTTCAATCCTGGGTCAGGACCCCAAAGTGGGTCGTGACTAGCGTTCCCTCTGATTTTTTACATCCACGTGCGGAATGAATTTTGTGATGTGCGCCAATATGGAGGTGATGTGTGACACATGACCTTCATATTGGTGCACATAACAAAACTCATGTGGTGGGGTCGGGCCAAGGGGTTTGGAGTGTGTGGGGTGGCTCAGAGGGTTGCGGTGCCGGGGGGGGGAGGGGGTGAGGGGTTCAGGGATGAGGAGGATGCCGGGAGGGGGCTCAGGGCTGGGGCAGAGGGTTGGGGTGCAGGCTCTGGGGTGTGGAGAAAGGACTCCCCGCAGCCCTCTCTCGCTGCAGGAGCTCGGGGTTGGGAGAAAGGTGTCTCGGGAGAAAGGTGTCTCTCCCCAGCCGCAGTAGCTCTGGCAGGGTTCCTCTTTCCCGGCTGTGGCAAGTCCGGGGCAGGTCCGCACTGGGGCCGGCGGGGAGGGGCACCTCTGCCCGCTGTGGCAGGTCAGCACTTTGGCAGGAGGGGAGGGGAGGGCCAGGCCGAAGGAGGGGCTCCTCTCCCCGAGCCGTGGCAGATCTATGCTGAGGCTGGCGGGGATGGTGCCTCTCCCTGGTGCATCCCTGAGCCGCTTAGTGGGGCTTCATAGACTTGCTGGGGCCCAGGGCCAAAGCTGAAGCCTAAGCCCAAGCCCCACCGCCTGGGGCCAAAACCCCCGGGCTTCAGCCCTGGGTGGTGGGTCTCAAGTTACAGGGCCCCCGCCACCTGTGGCTGAAACCCTGGGGTTTCAGCTTTGGCCCCTGTGCCCAGGGCAGTAGGGCTCAGGCTTTGACTTTGGCCCTCCTGTCTGGAGCTGCAGGACTTGGGGGGGGCCTCAGGCTTTGGTCCCCGCTCCTGGGGTCATGTAGTAATTTCTGTTTTCAGAAGGGGGTCACAGTGCAATGAAGTTTGAGAACCTGCAGCAGACAAATGCTTTGATGAATGGAATTCAATGTGGTTTGCCACAGACGTAAAACAGCCACCTCTGAGTTTAAGAAAACAATACATCTCTAATCCCCAAATAAAACTTTTCATTTGAATAAACAGTTTACTGTTGTAGACATAGAACTATTAGTCTATAAATATTTACATTTAATAACTGGGCCACACCATTTGTAGTGCACATACTTGACTTAATCCTTTTCTCCTGTTTTTGTTTCTGTTTTAAACTTTTGAATAATTCCTTGTTTTCTGATGCAGATTTCCATTTTCTTCCCATTTTGGTGTGTTAGATCTTTAAACCATTATCTGCTAACAGCTTGAAATGGGTACGTGGTGGGCGTGAGATTCATCAGTACATTCAGATGAGCATGCACTTCAGAGTTTACAGGCGTGCCTGTTTATTGTGTGTATCTTTTAGACTAATACATATAGCTTTACTTCAACACGCAGCTTTGCATATACACACACACACTAATGTATCATCATAATACATATCTCTCATGCAACGTAACGTATTTTCCCAATAAAACAAGTTATTTGATTGATTGATACAAAAGCAAGGTGAAAAACGGGGGGGGACACCTCACCAGGCTTTGGGTCAGGCCCAAAGCAATTAGAGAGAGGAGGGGCCCTCCCTGAAAACAATCACATTCAGTCAATTTGATGTGAAAGTTTTCTGTAAATGCACCAATGGGTTTCAGTTCAAATGCGTTTAGTTTACGAGTTAAAGAAGCTCCCAACCCCTCAACTTCTGGGCTTGCAAACTCAGCATGCATTCCAAGCATCAAGCCAGGAGTTTTCCTTCTTGCACATCACCGCCAGGGACAAAGGTTCTGCAGGCCAAACTACACCGTCAGTGACGACCCACATTGTCTGCCAAGGGCTTGGCACAGGGGTAACTGCTGGAGTTCAGTAAACAATTCTGCTGATATACAGACAGGAATAAAAGGTGGCTTGTTCACTCTCAGCTGAGGAGGTAAGAGGATAAAGATCAGTTCAACACTTGCATTATTTTTGCCACTTAAGCCTCCAAGTATAGCAGAGAGGAAATTTGCCCTTTACGCAGTTACTTTTCAAAGTAAGCCTCTGAAATACTGATCATTGCACTGGAATGATACAGCACTCTTCTAGCCAGCCTTGAAACACCCTGTGGCATCTCTCAAGTTTCCTGTTGTTCTGCTCAGTCCCCTGGGCAAATTCTGTTGACCCACAGCTGCAGTTCAACACTTCATTTTCTGCTCTAACGCTAAATAACAAACAGCAACTGCTGAGCACAGAGGGTGTTGACATATTCAACACCCAGACTCTGGTGCACAAAGGTAATTAAAATCAGATTCCTATTTTCTTAAAGCATATATTACCAAGAAGCTGCTAATTGCCAAGGGACTGGCCTGAAGCCTTAGGACTTACAAAAACACCCCCACGAACCTAGCTTCAGGCGTATTCATTACGCTGAGACATTTTTTAAAGATAAAATAATACAATTTTAAGAACACAAGTCTCTACCATGACTCAGGCTTATACTGTGCCAAGCAACTATTACATTCCAGGCTGCTATTTTATTTCAATTTCCACAACCATTGTAACTTCTATTGACTTCCATACTGAGGAATTTCAAACGGTTCCTGAGATTACTTTACCCAATACAATTCCTTCAGCCGTTCTTCTTTGGAAACAAAATGCTATTGCTAGAAACGTTCACACCTTTCACTCTCCACATTCACGCCTGTAGCGAGATCTTTACAATTTTTTTTTACGGACCAACGGTATTGCCATTAGAGTAAAAATAAGCTCCAGCTAGAAAAAAAGTTTAGTTACATTCTGTTTTAGTTAGGGTTGCATTTTCTCCAAAATAGTACCCACCTGGCCATTTCACTCCAGAAATTTCCAGTTCGCTAAAGGAAAAGAGTGTTTCTAACGTCATGTTCAATTGCACAACCAGTAACTAAACACCAACAGGCTAATCTTTGGCAACTGACACTTGGAATTAGTAAAGTATAAACAGTTAGGATTTCATGCAAATTACTAAGCAACTCCCAGTGCAATCAAATGAGCAATCATCACATTGCAGGGTCAGGCATTGTTGCAGATGCCCTCCTTCATATAAATTTTTTGCCATATTATACTCATGGCTGCTTTAAGTCTGTATCATTTCTAAAAGGGGGTTTGTAACAGGCTTGCAATGTTTGCCTGAAATGGCTAGGAAAAGGTTACAGGGGTTTTGTTGCTTCACTGACTAAGGTGTCTCATTAGTTGGACATAAAGGAAGTTGAGCATGTTTTCCTCTAGGGGGAGACACGATCTAGGGCGTGTGCTGAGCAAGAAGGAATCCTGGGAGCAGCGAGGCCAGGGAAGACCTGAGCTGATCTTGACTTTATCTTCTCATTTGCTTTGTTAGCAAAGTCAAATCCCAGGGAGGGGGTGAGCTTGGACTTTTCAAACTGTAAAAATAAAATAAATAATAATGAATAAAGTTCTTGCATTAACTAAAACGGCCCTCAGTGTCTCCCAGAAGCTCATAACTTTGTTCCTCAAATCAACTGAACCTTTTGGGCTCTCCTTCAAGTCTTATAACCATGTTCTCCAATGGGCTGCCAACCCTGGGGAAGGCCAAAAGTGGGATGAGGCCAAAACCTTTAACACTATTACATATTTTTCAGACGGTTATCACCATTTCTCTGGCAATAATGAAGTTCCTCGCTATTTAAATGGAAGGGTTCTCTTTAAAGGACACTCTCAATGCCAGCAGGCCAAAAAAAAAAAAAAAAAAGGGACCCACCAGCTGGGATTTTGATATGTGCACACAGCACATTCCCCCAACTCTGTGTTTGGTGCCTGCCTGGTCTTTGTCGGAGACCTCAAGAGATGCCCTAGTGCTCCGAGCACCTCTAAAGAGAATCCTGTGACTAGGAGAGAGGTTGAAATTCACAAGGACTGAGCACACAACCAGCACAACAGGAGGCAAGTGCTACAAAATTCTCCCTCTCATATGCACGCACACACACACGCACAAGAGAACCGTCATCCTGGACTGGTGCTGTAAGGTTGCTAGAAGTGTCGTTTTCATTTAAAGTCAGCCTGTAGCCCCGACATTGGTGAAAAAACATCCTTTTTAGAGATCTGGCAGGAAGTACTGCCTGGAAGTGCCCAGCACACAGATTAATGAGGATCATATAAAAGATGTGCCATTTCCAAAGCAGGTAATCCTCTGGACCCATTAACTTTAGCCGTTTCTCTTTGAAATATGTATCAGAACCATCATTTTACACATGGGCTCCCAATCGATGAGACTTTCTTCAAAGTGACCTAGAGTCATTAAAAATGGTGACAGTCCTACTCCTGTCATGTCCCGTTTCATGTCCCTAACCATAATCTCCAAGCTCTCCACTGGGGAAACTGAAGCAGGCTTGTATGACAGCATGAAATTCTGGCTCCACTAAAATCAATGGCAAACCTCCCACTGATTTCAATGAGGCCAGGATTTTATCCATACTGT